TCCAAATCCTCTTGTCCGTATACTAGAATAGTATAAACAAAATATAGACGTTCCTAGTATACGGTACTAACTTACTATACATGAATAAATATCTAAAATATTTCAAAATGTCCACACTTATTTTGTATATTTTCTAAATTCTAAACCAGTTGAACTTTAATTCAAGTTTACACTATTACACAGCTATTAGATTATCAACGTATTGAATTACTTAGAGTTGAAGTATTTTCAAAACTGTTTCATTCAATATTCACCGTAGTAAATACTTAAAATACAATAACAATAATGCATATAATTTATCAATACTTCTTAATATTTAAAAAAGTACTATTCACTGCAATGGCTCTGTGTATATTGGACACGTTTTAAAAATCGTTTATCTTTTGCAGTCTTGCAACCGTCATACTAAATTGTATGGAAAATGTTTGCGTTAATCACACGATTTAGGTAGTCAGTTTTAACAACATTATTGAGATTGATGAAATATAATAAAGACGTGATGTGGCAGAGGCTTGTATTTGATATAATAATATGATATATAGATGTCATAAAAACAATGGGTTGTCTTGTGCGTTAAATATGATATATTAGAGTCAAAGCTTTGTAATTTGTATTCTGTCATAAGTATTTGTTCTAACTGTATAATAAAAATCTCAAGATTATGTCTTAATTTATAAAAAATGCACATGATAGTTAACAATATTAAATAAACCACTGTTGATGCAGGTACAGAGTTTAACAAAAATTATTGTGAATATTAACTAGGTACTATATTATTATATTAAAAAAATAAAATAATTATACTTACTTATAAAAACTGACCATACAAAAGTTATTACAATAAGTATATTTAATATTATATTATGTAATAACTTAACAGTCTACAGTAAACTTGGGTACAATTTACTGAGTCAATTTTTAGTTGGTCATTTTTTATGCCGTTTTACAGTTACGTAGTACCCGCTGTATACCTGTAACTCTAAACGTATTTTCTTATCGTCACTACACTATTTCATAATGCTTATTTTGTTTACATAAAATACTATACTCCTACACACCCAACGATACTGTTCCTATGTTTTAAATTTATTTGCATTTTGAAACATAAATTATCAATAACTAACCGCATATAAACAGTCTTATGTAAGACGACAAGCGTTTAATGATATACATACTATATATAGGTATTATGGATAGATATACATAATATTGCGGTTTTGTCCATTCCGATGGGGTGTGCGCTGTATGCTAATAACAACTGCAGGTAAAGTTTTGGATGCGTGTCAAATATATTTTTGGCTTGCTCGGGGTTCGCGTGACCGTCTTATACTGGATTGTTGCGTGACCGCGCCCAATAATTCGCCCCGGATGTATGTGTCGACCACCCCGGTGACCGGACAAAGGCGCTTGCCGAAAATAAACCCATTAGGGTTTACTGATATTTTATATGTGTTCTACCCGTACACTACTGCACATATTATAGGTAGGTGGGTGGGTACTCTATATGGTTATTCATGAACCGATAACAACAACATAGCTTTTTACGTGTAAAGAAAAATCGATTTTGCTTCATAGATTTTCCGTTAACATATTTTAAGTAGGTATTGTTAACAATAACTATTTTGCAAAAAAAAATACCATAATTTATAACTCAAAAAATATACATTTCGACAACATCATTATACGTTAGAACTTATATAGTAACAAATACCTAAGTTATAATATTTATACGACATACACGTAATAGGTACATATATGTGTATGTATGCAACATTGACATAACATTGTTATATCAATTATATCCTCATTTACAGCTATTTCTTGAGAGAGTTTAAAAACCATATAATCACTGTTTAACGGTCAATATTTAGTTTTACACCAATTAATGTTATCCGTCTTTATACCTCATCATTAAACTAATTAATCGCAATAGTCTAATGAAATTGATAAAACGCTTTAATTAAAGAAAACATTTTTAAATCGATCAAAGGTTTTTAATAACCCTTTAAATATTCTTTTAACTCAATTTTGAACTAAAAACTTTTTTAATGATTTTCTGATTACTTAATTCCAAATATCTTACTGAATTTCCGTTACGGCATTACCGTTTTTGACCAAAATTATGCTCTTCCCTTTTTGGCCAATTAACTTTTCTACCAAACCAAAAAGCTTTATATCTACTTTCTGTTATAAAATTGAAAATATTAATAAAAATATAAGTTGTACAAAATGTGTATAGGTAATAATGTAATATATAAATAAATATTAGTAAAATATACTTGTTGTCCGTAATTATTTGATCAATACCTTCGACAATTATTACCACTACCTCAATTTGGTTTCAAACCATTTCCTTCAACAACCCATCAGCTACAACAGATCTCTGAAATCATAGTAAACGGTTACGAAAATAAAAAATATTACCACGACAGCCTTCTTAGACATATCACAGGCCTACGATAGGGTTTGGCACCATGGACTTATTTCAAAAATAAAAACTCTGAACCTACCTTTATACCTTAACAATACACTCTTGTCGTTTATAATAAATCGCAACTTTCATGTCAGAATAGGAACAAATATATCACAAATACATAGAGTAAATGCTGGAGTTTCACAGGGATCTGTGCTAGGACCATCTCTATTCAATATCTACTGTCACGATATACCAACACCACAACACTGCATCTAGCTATGTTCGCAGATGACACAGCAATAATAACGCAAAACCAAACTCTTGAATCTTCAATAAGAGACCTACAAAGCTCCTTCAATGAACTATCCCTCTAGTTTTAAAAATGGAAACTAACACTAAACCCAACCAAAAGCGAAACAAAAATATTTACACTCAAAAAATACACAAATCCGACTCTACGTCAAATAAACAATAAAGAAATCAACTGGAACAACAAAGACAACTCAGTAAAATATCTGGGCCTGCACCTTGATGAAAAACTAATCTGGAAAATGCACATTAACAAAAAATTAAACCAAGGATACACTAGGCTACGAATACTGTACCCTCTATTAAATCATAGCTCTATCATACAAATGAAATGCTCTCTACTCCTTTACACAGCAATAATAAGACCATTAGTAACCTATACATGCCCAGTATGGGCAGCTGCCTCAAAAGCAAAAATAAAAAAATTACAAACCCTCCAAAATAAATTCCTAAGAATGGCCCTAAAGGCCCCCTGGTTTATGAGAAACAAACAACTACATAACAATATAGATCTACCTGGATAACACAACAATTTAAAAATGTCCACGAAAAACTCCACAAAGTTAACGGTGCCCGTCATTAAAATATCGGCAACAGATCCACAAATCTAAGACTCAAACCTCGGCTACCTCAGGACATCCTACTAGATCCCAATGAAGACACCTCAACCTCAGATTCTGACCCAGACTCATAGCTAACCAAAACTATTATACATTATATAAATAATAATATTATAATATTACTATTATAAATTTTAAAAAATTGTAACATTGTAAAAATACTTGGTGTATTGGCACAATTATATAAATAAATGAAAAAAAAAACAATTATTATAAGCTGCAGTTATCCAACTTTCCGAGGAATTTTCGGATAATTGTAGCATATATACAGCTGAAGCCTTAGCTATGTATAAAGCCCTATCTTATATTATAATAATAATTGCCAACTTGCAAAAAAAATTACATAATTTTAACAGACTCCATGACCACTTTATCTAGCCTTAATAATATTAATAACGATAAGGTTATCATTAGTAAAATAATCAACTTGAGTAATCAATTTAACAATAACATAATCTTTTCATGGATTCCCGGGCACTGCGGAATAATTGCTAATGAAAGAGCTGACATACTTGTCAAGGTATACGCCAATAACCCACATCAACGAACACTCTGGGATATAAAACCTGACAAAGATATAAAAAAAAGTTATCTACAACTGAGTTAAAAATAAATGGCAAAACGAATGGCTAAAAATGAACACTAAACCAAACGAAACAAAAATAACAGCAAAAAAATGGAGTAACCCAATGTCTCTCAAAAGAAGAGACGAAGTTGACTTAAATTGCTTCAGAATAGGTCATACACACTTCACACATGGCGATCTAATTAAAAAAGAGCCACCAGGAGCATGTCTTACATGCAGATATACACCTCAATCTAACATATCATCGCCGAATGTAGAGACACGCAAGAGGGCTGACAGTATTTAATACACTTGAACACCTTCATGAATCACGACGCACTAGGCCCCGATGAAGAATCCATCAAAAATATATTTTTACTTATATAAGATGATATTGGATGGTACAATTTAATTTAAATTATTTAAGTACCATGTTACGTAAAACAAGCCAATGGTCACGCCATTGAGGCTTTCTTCTTTTAATAAAAACAAAAAAATTAATATAAGCATTCTCATATTTTGTCCACTTTTATATGTACCTACTTCATTTTATACATAATAAAGAAAATTATTAAAAATATAAGTTATGTAAAATGTTTCTATTTATGTAGGTATTTAATTATTGTTAATCAAGTAATCAACGACAACAGTTATACACGTTTTAATACATTTCTAAATGTCTAAAATAAAGTAAATATGAAACTTTTGGTTTTTGCTTAAAATTGAATCGGCCGAAAGGGGAAGGGTACTATTTTGGTCGAAAAGGGTATCACCCTAAATATTAATCAGTTACTAACCGGTTAGAAAAAAAGCTCTTACTTTAATTATTATTCTTATTTTATAAACACAAAATTATTTAAATTGTATTATAATTCAAAAATGAATCATTAATAACATGTTTCTATGATTAAAAGAGGATTTAGTATGTATAGTATGTAATGTATTAATATAATAATATTTATTTATATTATGCTCAGTCTAGTATAATATTTTTATGAGAAATAAAATAAATTATTCGTAATTAATATACATTAATACGCATATTATTTTCCATGCCGTAAAAATAATTTATTTTTAATTTTCCTTACAGCAAATCCAATTAGATACCCAAGATTCAATGGACGTAGTTGGTTGGCATTCCCGCCACTCCGGGGAGCTTACAAACACGTGCAGATAAGTTTAGAATTCAGACCAGAGAGCTGGGATGGTATATTGTTTTTAGCTGCTGAAAGAGATGATTTAGTAGGAGATTTCATGGCTATTCTACTTCACAATGGATTTTTGGAATTTAGGTAATTCAACTTAAGCCAATAACAATGTCATTGTAACACTATTAGTAAAAACGACATTTTTCTTTACAGGTTTGATTGTGGATCTGGTTTGGGAGTAGTTAAATCTGAAGAAACAGTTATTTTGAATCAATGGAATACGCTGTCTGTGTATAGACATAGGTGGGATGCGTGGATCCAATTAAATCGTGGAAAACGTATTGCTGGGAGATCAAAAGTAAGTACACTCATAAATTTTAATTAAAGTAAAATTACAAATGTAATAATTGTTATTTAAATTTAGTTACATCCTTTACTTGTGCAAACAAACTAAGGATAATACATTTTTTTATCGTGGTCATCTTAAAATGTAATATATTTTTTTATTTTACCTTTAAGTATAATTAAATGCAATTCGATAAAACCCTAACCATGAAAAAGACCAAGTCCCAGAACCCTTAAAAAATAGTCTGCCTATCAAATTATTGATATCTACATTGCGATCAAGTCTAATCTTTCTTTAATCAATAACCTTAATATACAAATACATTCAAGTGTAACAGATCTCTTTTAATTTAATCGCTTACCACTTGACCAGTTTCTTTTGATTTTGTCTCTTTGGCGTTGTCAACATCTGAAATAGATTTCAATCATACAATAGCTATTTTTCTTTGAAACTAGCCAAGTGATGAGCAATAAAATTAAAAGAGATTAATTGCAAATGAAAGTATTTGTGTATTATGGTTATTGATTAAAGAAAGATCAGGCTTGGCAGTAATGTAGATATCACTACTTTCATAGGTAGACTATTTTTTAAGGGAGTCTGGGATCTTTCTATTCGTTTAACATTTTAAAGTTTACATATTATTTGTTCCTTAAATTGTATACATAAGCTTATGATGTCTTAAACAATGTGAAAATGTGCATACATATCAGGAAAAGACCTACTTGATAGGTACTACCGTTGATTTAGAATACTTTAAATACTGTATTTGTGACCAATGTGTGTAGTATTTGTGTTGGAACGAAATTGTAGCCCACCATCTAGATTTTTGCTCTGAATCTGTGCCTGAATCCTTGATACATGTTTAATTGTTTCAATACACGTGAATAATTTTATTTCTAAATAATAATACCATTACCTATATATTTATTCATTTGAATGTGTATTTTAATATTTTTATCTCACAAAAGATAGTAAATTTGTATGCTTGATTTCCAATCAAACAAAATATACAACATTACATTAATTTACACAAAGTATTCATAGAATTGTGAATTAAAAAATATCAAACAAAATTAAAATATAGATGATATTGAAAAAATATAACTCCGTGAATAGGTGAGCAATGTGAATAATGTGTATTATTAAATAATTATTTAGCTTTTAATTATTTTGAATCAACATTAGAGTTTTAAATCAGTTATAAACATTATTAAAATTACTAAAAATACATAAGAAAACATCAAATATTTTTACCAGGTATATTCTATTTGAGAGTAATATAAAGTTAAATTGATTAGTTTAAACTTTAAAGTTTTAATTAATACATAAATAATATCTTAAATTGTATCCACTTAGATTAAACGAGACATTCATTGTTCAAATACTACTTTTTAATAAACAGATTACTGTCATAAGAAAGATACTTTACCTAAAATAAAGTAGAATAATTTATTAAATGTATATCAGTGCCGATTTTGAAATATATATTTTATTTAGTCCAAATGCTCAAAAGTTTATTGAGATAATATTAAATTTGATACTTGTGGCCTGTGGGCTATCGTAATTACTTGAAAAAGGAAATTACAAATTATAATACAAACATGAATCATGATAATTATTTGAGTAATAATTATCACATATCAGACATTTGTTAATTAATACTTAAGAAAATATATAAATTTTTATCATAATCTTTAATTATCTTTTTGAAGAATAAATAAAAATTAAATAAATAATGTTAAATTATCATTACACATACGTCATATTATTTGCAAACAATAATTCAATAAATTAATAATAGTTTCATAAAAATTTGGTTAATGGTTTAGTACCAATTAATATTTACATAATAATATAAATACTTAAATATTATGTTAAATTGTAAACAGTACCTAATACCTATAATAAAATAACCTTTTAAAAAAATGTTGTAAAATTGAGGGTACGTCATCATCGCCCAACTGGTAGCTTATATACATTTTTGGAATTCACGATAATCCATAACTATTTTTTTTTGAAATCAATATTTTAGGTAAAAACATTGACTATTATAATATGTAAAATCAATGATATATATTAGCGGTTTCCAACCTTTTTAGTTGTGTTAGCCACAAATCTCAAACACAACTTTGAGGCCCACTTATACTAACTGGTATAAATAATTTGTATATTGATATTATTAATTACTCAGTTCCGCTCAGAGTCTAAAAATAATGTAGTATTAAATTATATAAAATACATTATCTAGATTATTGATTTTATGACAATAAAACACAATTTCACAACACACAAATAATTTCTTCTTTATTAATTTATTTTAAGTTGGTTGATAGCCAAAAAACGGTAATCTACACTAAAAATGTTTGTAAAATACTGAATACAAGAGATTCTTTGTTTAAAACTATAAATTAAGAGTTGAATACTTAAGCATTATAAATTTATAAGTTGTAACAATGCACATCTTTATGTTTTATTTGACGTTTAATGGTATTCAAATTATTTTAAATTATAACGTCCTGTTATGGAATCTGTAATAGCATAAATTATAATGTAAAATGCTGTTTGACTGACGCTAAAAGATGAACTTTTATCAACAAACAATATAAGGTGCTTTTGTTATCTTATTTTGATTATAATATATGCGTGTTTAATGTTAATATTATAATTTTAAAGATATTGATTTCACACAATATTGAAAAAATGTCCATTTTTTTTAATGAATTATAATAGGTAATGATTATTCGATGTAAACGGATATTTGTATAAACAAAATTAAAATATTGTTGTTTAATATGATTATTATTGGTAGTTTTATTACTTTGTAATTTATATCCACAGACTATAGTTTATTGTGAGAAATAGAACCTTGTGTAGTTGATAGAGACTGGACTAACCATTAGGCACCATAGACATTAGACATCGCGAGCTTACAGCGCAACTTTTTTAAGTCACCAACAATTTTTGACTATCATACGATCAACCAAAGCATCATACTGCTTTTTTGTTATCTATGATAATAATAATAATAATAATATTAAGTTGATTAGATGTTGAGTAAGTTAGACCATACAATTTGTCATAATATGTGGTATTGTGGTGTCTATTATGTAAGCACTTACACAAAATACATTATTGTTATTATCGATATGTAGATAAATTACCATTGTTATTATTATTATTATTATTAATTTATTTTTCTACACAGACAACGGGTATGGTGACGATGTAAATGCATTAACAGTAATTTGATTTTTTTCCTTTGACTCCACAAAAAATGGGTACTGCAGTGACGCAGATAAAATCAAAGCCTTTAGGCGAATTTCTCCTTATTCCAGCCCTGAATAGAAATTTAATATTTGAAGGTGGAAATAATCTTATTCGTTTTATACATTTGAAAATATATGTAACTAATATTAAATAAGATATAAGTACAAAATTGGTTTTTCAAACGAGATTTTATATTTTTAAATAAACTTCTATCAAGGAATGGGCTCTTTGTTCGTGCAATTTATCAGTACCTGCCTATTAATAAGTGATTACTAATTGCCTATAATTATTATTTATTCAGTGTAACACTATAACTTACCAGATATCTGGAATCATGCTGTCAATTTTTATACTCACGCAACTAAACTAAATGTAAATTATAGCTGTTTAAATATGCCGATATTAAAATTATTATTTTATTACCTACACTGCAGACATCAGACACCCCCCAACTATTTAATATACATTTTTTTTCATGAATTTTGTGATTTTAATACATCTTCCTCTAGGCTCCACTAAATTCTTGAAATAATAAAAAAAACTTCTCAAGCTACTGATATTTTAATTATGTATTATTTACATTTAAAAACGAGACAAGGCTAATGAAATAGTATTTAAGTAAAATGTTAATTTTATACATTATATACATAACATACGTTTTACATATATTACAGATAAATATAAAAGTAATTTGAATATAGAGTTCAATAATTTCACTATTCTAACAATAGTTTGTATTTTTACACTTAGGGTTTATTCTCGAGAATTACGTTTCGAGAGCCTGTCTTTATCGGCGGTCGAGGTAATACGTCTGGGCTAGCTGAACGGTTCCCAACAGACCGTGGATTCGTAGGTTGTGTTCGGCTGTTACAAGCCAATGATCACAGATACGATTTTGGTGAAACACCTGCTGGCGATACAGTCAAATCTCAAGAAGTCGGTAAGTGTTAACTGCACATTCGGTTTTCTTAGACCCCCTCATGACCACCTTCAAACATAATATGAAAAATGTCGGTTATCGACAAAAATGATCCGTTCATAAACGTCGACAAAATTCTTTTTTTTATTTATTGGTATTAAAAACGCAGTTTTAGATATTCAAAACGACGCTTGAAGACGTGACCAGACTTTTAAATTTCAACGACGAAAAAAAAATATAGATGTTCTCTTTTTAGCAGTTCCAAATATAAATAAAGGAAATTATATAATAGGAAAGGTCCTCTAACCAAACTTTAAACAAACTGCCAAAACTGTTTAATTTGTGGACAGTGAAAACTTTTCATTCTCCTTAATCTACGTCTTCTTGTTCGCTAACTTCGCAAATTATACCGGATAAAACATATGGGTTACTTGGTGATGCCATTAATTATTTTTGTTCGTATAAAATAACAGCTTATAATTTTCAAAATGGAAAGCAGAATCATAAAATCGCTTTTGAGAAAACAATTTTAAACTATTATTGTGATCACGAACGTTAAAATATTTAAAATTGATAAATCATATATGCAAGGCTATTATTGAGATTTATTATATTAAACTTATTTAAAATATACGTAATATAATATAATATTATTAAAATATACGTATTTAAAATATTCAATATATAATATTATATTAATTTAATTTAATTTAATATATTTAAATATAAAATCTAAATAGGCTGAGTTGAACAACATATTTGAAATTTTATATAAATTATGAGTGTACAACCTACATATATTTAATTTAATATTTTTAAATAGTTAAGATAATAGATAAGATATAATAATATTTATAATTACCGTAATCATATAAACGTAAAAAAGGTGATGGATACGATACGATGCTTTATTTTTATTTTTTGGATTTATTTAACACCTTCAGATAATTTTTTTTTCAAATATAAAAAAATTAATTAATATATATTTTATGTACCTTAAAAAATAAATTGTACCTTTGATTTTATTTAGTATAAGAAATATTCAATAAAATAATAATCGTAATATTCAATATTAATCATATTATGCAAATAACAATCAAATTTAAAATTGTATATTTTAATTTATCCTGGTGAAATCACTTAGCTTATTTAGTAAGTTAATTTTTACTATGGAATAATCTATAAAAAAATAACTAATCGTCCATCATTACAATTTATCGGTTAAGACATGTGAAACGTGGGTATATTAAAGTTACGAAAAGCATACTCCTAAACTTACTATGCTGATTTCTTAAAAATTATTAAAACTTAATGGTCTTTTAGTAAAATTGTTGAAGTTTTAATTTGGAGACGTTATAGAAAATTAAGATAAAAGTTTACTTAAAATATAGACTGTTGACGAAAAACTAAACATGATTAGATCAGATGTCGTGTAGTACGTGTTTATTAATGTATATAAAATATATAAAATATTAAACTAAAAGCTGCAACAATAAAAGAGAGAGAAAAAAGCTGCTAAAACTCTTTGAGTAAACATTAGATAGAAGCTTTGAGGTGAAAGTCGAGGACAGCCGTGTACTCCCACCGTCCTTTTAGCGTACCAGCGTTAATTAATTTTTTAGTCAACCGCTCCGCCGCCGACGTCGCTCGCCTTTGGTTTGTGTCTTATTATTAATTTAATCGGCTAGGAGCCATGGTAGAGGACGAAAAAAAGGCACAATTCACTCACTTGCTTTTTAATCTCTTTAAAAATTCTTAGAGCAAATGTTTGGTGTTTTATTGACGTTATTTTATGTTATTGATTACTTGGTGTAAATAATTTTTAATGTTGAAAATGTTGAAATATTTATTTTTGTTTTTATTATTTTGAATTATTCACCATAATTGAGTTTATTTATTTATGACACCAAACAAAATGGATGGTGTATACCTAATATTATAAATCATCTGACAAATATATTCATTGGGCAACAAATATTCTCTATGAGTTTTCGTATAGGTTACACAATAATATATTATATGCGATCCATTGGATATCGGATGAAGATTACACTTTATGCTTGTCAAAGTTTCAAATTCCCATTAATTTGAGATAAGGAAAAAAATGGCTACATTTATAGTCATAACACGCCAAACTCCGTTCTGTGTGAATTGTTATATTCAATGGTCCATGATTAATAAAAAACTTTCAGTCTTGTTACATAAATCTAAATCCCAGTAAGAATCAAATGAAACGATAAGTGCCTTTAACACTAAAATTATGGCTGAATAATTTTAAATAAAATATAACATAACATTTAAAAATTAAGAATAATCATTTTTACTTGTACAAATTGCATCTAGTTAAAAAGTTATAAGTTAAATTATAATAATCATACGATTTCATCATAGTTATTAAAAATTAAAAATTATTTTTACACTCGTTTAACATATATTAACATAATATTATCTTGCCAGTTTGTATATTCATGTAATTTAAAAACATTATAAGCATATATTAATTTTGCATGGACTTTAAACTACATGAAACATAATTATGCCAGTAATTAAATGAAAATTATTGTTGCTATAATAATTTTACTTAAACACACCGCTTTAAATTTATTAGTAATTGTATAATAATGTTAATTCTTTTCATCTTAAGTCCAAACAACGTATACAACTTTTAAGTCTGGCGCCATTTTTTTTTTTTTTTGAAATCGGATCGATTAACTTCGGGCAAAGTACTGTTCTTACGATAGCTACATATATCTTGAACAATGACATTGAAGTATTAGTTTCTGATCGAAAACCTCGCCTTGTAATTTGTCTTTGATAAATGGCACTGTAATTTAGTACACGTGGGACCGGCAGTGACGCAATAGGGTTGTTTTTTCCAAATAGAATAAGAGCAAATCAAAAAAATTGATTTTCTGAACTTGATTTGTTTAAACTTTATAACTCGTATCACTTAGCCAATAAGTAAGACTAAACAATTTCGATAATAATTTTATTTTACAGAGGAATGCTCTACGGACAAGTGTACAAGATCTCCCTGTCAACACGGTGGCAAGTGCGTAACAACCACAAATTCGTCACTATGTCTGTGCCCTCTTGGTTACACTGGAGATTTATGCGAAACGATATTGGACTTACAGGTAAATATCACAAAAATAATATCACAATAATAATACTCACATCATGGTGCTTATAATTTATATAATAACAAATATAGATTGTATAACTATATTCAACTGTATACGTATACTTATGTAATTTTGTTTACAATACTAAGTTTTTTATTTTATTTTTATTTCTTATTCATATTATGTATAAAATGTTAACATTATAAATATTCTTTATTTATAATAATATACATCTAAATAGAACTTATATAATGTTTAATTCGTCGAGGCAAAATAAAGATCAATTAAAAAAACATAATGACAATTGACAATAATAATACGTTTAATCGCTGTTTCGAGATCAATTTTTAAAAATTAAAATGGCGTAAAAAATCAATTTACGGATACAATACTTTAATAATAAAGACATTATTAAAATAGATATTCAATGATTTCAATTTTCAACAAATATGTATTATTACCTAACCTTACAAGATTCTGATTGTTTTCGAAGAACATAAAACATATCTTGATTTCTAATTATCTACAATTATAGTATATTTTTATCAAATTTATGCCATGGAAACTTATACCCTTTAACTTTTACAATAAAATACTATTTATTTAAAAAACAATTTTCATGACAAAGATTAGCTTTTTTTTTAATAACTAAACATTTTATACTTTAGTTTACTATTTATGACCGACTTGGATCAACCGGATATTTAAGTATTTGTATTTATTTAAGATCCCCCCCAAAAAAAAAAAAATACTCTACAAAACCTAATTAAATATATGATGTAATGAAAATTGAAAATAAATTGTATGTATTCTTGTAGACCCAATCGAACACTGGGTAAAAATGAATGAGTAAATATTAAGTAAAATGTTAGTATATACACAGTGAAATTTATACATTAATTTTTTTTTATATAATATTATGCATAACAACTCTAAATATTTCTAACAAACAGTTTAATAAAATATTGAAATATTTATCGTAAAATATTTTAATGTTTATGACTTATTATAATAATATTATATTATTATCAGAATTGAACATCAAAATGACGAGCGAGGTTCAATTGGTTTAATTGAAACTGTGATGCTCGTGTTATTGGTATTGATAAAGAAACCGAGGGTATATTATTTAAATCATGCATTTGCATTTTATAGATTTCAAGATTGAACAATTGTACTGTAACCCAGTTTTAATCCTTCTTAATAATTTTCTGTGGGGTGGTATAGAAATCAAAAGCGTAGTAGTCTTAACGAACAGATTGAAAGAACTTAAGAAGCTTACAAAATTGCCTATGCAATGTGATATGCCATATTGTAGTTCAGTATTAATTGTTGCAATTGTCTTGAATTTTATTGTACAGTATGCTATTCAACACATCCCATTTCAAATAAACTCTAACATGAATAATATGTTATGTACCTATTCGTATTTTAATTAAATTTGATATATTTTGTGTAAGTTGTTTGATAGTTAGTACTTAATTGTGAGTAACAATAAAGGTAATAATAATTAATAACTCTAAGGTCAAAACCCAAACAACTTAACAATACATTTTTTTTAAATATATACCTATAAGAATATAACTTAATTATATATATTATATAAATGTCTACATCATTTACTATTAATTATATTATTCCTTATTATTTATCAAAGAGTAAATATGTTTGTATTTTTGATGAATCATAAAAAGCAATTTTGTTTTATCAATTATTGATTATTTAATAATTTATCAAAAATACATTTACATGAAAATTAATTTTCAAATTACAACAAAGTAAATATAATTTAAGTTCTTTGTTATATATCTATAAAAAATAATGTTAGTTGATAATTATTTTTATTATAACTACAATTAACATATTGAATTTATAATATAAAATTGGTACACTAAAACGCATTTATTTTAGAATGTCTTTAATGAGGCATCTATTTTTATAAAACTTATGAGTTGCAATATTTAGCCAAATTAAAGAGAAAAAATATCTTTATTGAACATAAATCACAAAAAAACATTCCAAAGATGTTTTTTTGTACTGCAAAAGATAATGCTCTAACAAGAAATCTTTTGTGGATATGATACTTTCATGAGTTTTTCCATTTCGTAGTTTCCGGGTTCGAATAAATGCGAGTATTATTTACGCACCACGGTTATTGTCAGGGCCGTATATTAAAACGTCATCACAAATTTTAATGTTATGATTTACAAAATGTAGGGATTATTTTTTTTAGCTTAATAAAATATTTATAGGTCTTGAATATTTTTAAGAAAATACTATAAAAGTTTATTATATATTGGTAAATGCATAAATTTTAACTATTTGAGATTAAATATTATGCACATGAATGTATATGTTTTTTAGTAACCACCCTTATAACTGCTTTCATATGGTGCACTTCACAAAAGGAAAAAATTATTTTTATGCAGAAATCTAAAATATATAAAAAATTGCATTTTTAATAAAAAAATATTTAATAGCCTCTTCCTCGTAAAAATACTTTATAAAAATACCTACTTATTAATGAAAATAAAATTGGGTAGGTACTTTGTATTTATTTAAGTTTTATATGCAATAATCATTGGGCTAAAATAATTAAAATATAATTTCAAAGTGCTGTCCGTTTATATACTTTCAAAATAAACTTGTAATAAAAACTTTATAACTTTTACAAATAATCAATAATTTTAATGCATGAATTATCCAGTATCCTCATTCCTCATATATTAACGACTTCATTAAATAAAATATTAAAAAGCGGATTGATCACCATGTTCACGTGAGTTGCCAATTATATATAGTTTACTATTTAGTACATTAGTACAATGTGTATAGCTATTTGTGAGAGAATACATATTAGATCGTAACAAATAAAATAAAGCATCAACGATAACAACTGATCTAAGAAGTTTAAATGGTATAGTTTTATGATGTGGGCTTATAATTAATATACAAAAAATTAAGAATACAGATGGTATTAGATTATTCCCAATGTGTCCTTAAGCATCAATTTTCGTTTTGGAATATCATGAATTTTAAAAAAGTTCAATAGGAAAATCATTGCTGTTACCCCAGCACTAAACCAAAAGACTTTTACCTCCCAATTGTCAATCTGGTATCGATTCCTAGATATAATATGATCCAAATAACCTTAAACATATAAATTTATATCAAATTAAATAATAAACATTTCAATCGAAAATATAATATGAAGGTAGGTACATAGTATATTATTTACTATTGGTAATATTTTACCTTCGGTAATGTAATATTTACACTAAATAAACTTTTATTTTTATTAATTTTAAATTTAATCACATTATACGTACTATATAGTACGCATAGATATTATCCTTATGATGTACAATCGGTATTTACAACTGTATAGTTACTATTGTGTTTAAATTGAAAATTGATTTTCAAATATGGTTTTTAATTTATATAATGGCGAGTGAAACAACAAAAACGCTGTACGGGCACCGTGGCTTAATTAATACCAAATGGCTATTAAATTACATTATTGTCATTTAACGACCAGTGGGGCATGAAATGGCGGCATATAACATTATGATATCCTAACGAGTGAAAAGGGGCCGGTTATACCACGCACGCACGTAGCCCTCGTATGCATATTACATAACCAAATTGCCTATCAAAGACGCCGTTGCGCGTAAATCTGCATCGAGCATATTATTATTATATAACCATATAAATGCAATCCTGAAACCTCATTTGCGCCACACGTAACTCTTATTATTGTTATTAACCCTTTTATAATGTTATGCAAAAAGATATACCGATAGAAAAAAAAATTCTTATACACACATTTTGTTTTAAAAATCTATTGATTTAAAATGATTGCCACGAAAAGAATGTCTATACTTAGAAAAAATATAATAAAGCGTGATCTAAAGTAATTAAGACTGATTAAATTGATATATTTCTTTTTTAAATGTATAAAATATATCGTGTTCATAACATTTCTTTATATTTTAATCGATAAGAAACTTTAAACTACTAAACTTCTAATTTCTTACCTCTAAAACATTAAAATATCACATGTTTAATAGAGTAAAAAATATGATGACATATTTTATAAATATTTAAGTGGCCACGTTCTAATATTTCTAGATATTTATCAGTTTATGTTTAGTTTATGTTCTCGAAATGTTTACTATAATATGCAAAATTGGTTTAATATCAGAAAAAAAATTACCGTTAAAATAAATCATTCAAACAAAAAAACTAGTTTAACTATTAACTAGTATTCAAACGTATTCTAGTTAATTATTAGAATAATATTTAACAAAGTATAAAATAAACGTCCAACAGATAAGTGAGCTATAGTGAGTCATAGCGAAGTTCTGAACTTATAGATACAAGTTAAATATTTTGATTTTCAACGTTGACTTAAAGTTTGATTTATACAAACACAAAAGATTAGCCCATCTCGTCTAAATAGGTCTCCATGGAAACACATAATATATATGATATATCGTGTAAAGGATTTACACGACCCTTTCTCCCACCTGCCACCAACAACTGCCATATATTTTATATTTCCATGGAAACACTTTAAATTGTGTAAAAATCTCGTCTCACGAAACTCAACATTTGTGGCGAGTGAAAAAATTTGATTAACAGCCACCACGCTAATGACGCATCAAATCAGTAACGCTTTTAACGAGTGTATATCCCGCACATCCTGCACAATAACATATTGAAAGGCTTCAAAGGGAAAAAAATACCATTTTAAGGCGCCCTATATACATCATCTGGTACGGCGAAAGCTTAAACAATGTAAATCGTATAGCATGCTTAGATACGAACTAGGTATTATAATATCAACATACTTTAGATTTCGAAAATCTTTGATGCCAAACATTATACAGTGGGGATTACCAAGCATGTTCACTCTCATTTTTTCTTTTAATGATCAATTTATTTAAATTCCGATTTTTGAAATTTTCAAGTATACTAAGAGTTAAGGACATTTACACATTTAACATGTACACATTTAATACTATTCAAGGAGTGTTGATAGTGGTGATACCAAC